ACGCCAAATTGTTTGACCAAAAAGTATTAAGCCTTTTGATTAAACCAATTAATGATGAGAAGAGGGGTGAATCTTAGTTAAGAATAATAAAATCTAGACCAAATGTTAGATGAAGTAGACAAGATGAACGGCGTTAGCTAATATGTTTGAGCTGATTAAATGCTCATAAATGCAACAACATAAATGTACAATGAATATAAATAAATGTGACTAGTACAATAAAAGGAAGTTACTACCCAATCATTGTAAGATTCGGAAAGCTCCTTCCCCTGACAACAGTGTGGAAAGAAGGGAAATAAGAGGAGGTTGAGCAATGTTTGGATCTTGTGAATATAGAACCCAAAATGTATGCTCGAGTAATGTAATCAATGAATAAGACAACTTTAGTATATTCTTTCAGATCAACCTTTTACAAAGTGTTCTTTCTCATAAAAAGTGAAGATCCCTTTTTTGTTCTCTATCTCTTCCTATTTATAAGGGACATTTCCTAAAAACCCTAAAAAGTACAAAGTAAGGAATATTCCTTGTGTCCATATTTGAACCTATGCTACCGTTATTTCCTCATCTCAGTTGCCCATCTTTGGCATCAACCGTCTTGAGAGCAAACTTCAGTTGTTATACCATGGTCTACCCCGTCCTTTGTCTTGCTTATCCGTTACTCCCGAGTCGCCAAATTTAGACCTATACAACAAGGTTATTACATAAGAATGGAAAACCAAAGGGCCCATACATACTACAATTGAACCTCAGAATGCAAAACAAACTGCACCTGTTGAACAAGAACCAGAGGGTAATAAGGAGGAAGCTGCAGGCCTAACAGGAATAACAAGGTTAGCTGATCCTAAGGGGACTAAGGAGCCATCTCAACACAACACAGCCTTACCTGTAGCTGCAAAGGAGAAGCGGGATGACAGAGGCAAAGCAATGTAGAATAGCAATGAACTTAACTTTACCAACTTGCGAGCTTTGACCCTTATCCCAGTGAAGAATAGATTTGAAGCTGTATCAACAAGTTGATATGAGGATCAAATACCGCCTGGGGATAGAGGTGGAAATACCATACAACTATGATGAATTGGTTGTTCTGGAACATTAGGGCGTAAAAAAATGTATAAAAAAAAGGAGGTAAGAGAATATATTAAAGTAAATAAAATTAAGCTGGTAGGACTCATAGAAGCTAAAGTGAAGGAACAGAATTCCCAAAGGATTGCAAAAGCTATTGCACCTGGTTGGAATGTGCTAACAAACTACCAAGATGCACTCAATGGTAGAATCTGGATACTATAGGATACCACTAACCTGATGGTTAATGGTATTAACTATGATGCTCAAATGATACACTGTCAGGTAAAAAGTAGAAGAAGTAATATTGACTTCTTACTCACAGTAGTGTATGGATACAATGAGATTGAACAAAGAAGAACCTTCTAGGATGCTCTACAACAACTTTCATTAAGTATAACAGTCCCTTGGATGATAGCTGGGAATTTTAATGCAATATTATACCCCAATGACAGGTTATCTGGCAACCCAGTAAGCTTCTCAGAAATCCAAGACTTTGCTGCCTGCCTTCAGAACACTACATTAACAGAACTACCTTGGAAAGGTGATTACCATACATCTAACAAGCAACATGGATCTGATAGGGTCAGCAGCAGGTTAAATAGAGTGTTTGAGGGTTATGAATGGATGATGTCCTAGGTCATATAGAAACAAACTATGGATTGCATCAAATATCTGATCATGCGTTTATGCTCCTAACTTTGATATCTTCCACATGGAAAGGTGGAGTGCCTTTCAGATCTTTAACATATGGGCAGAACATGATGACTTCTCTTAAATAGTTACTAGCATATGGAGTTCAAAGGGTAGTATGAAATCAGTTTGGGCAAGATTGAAAGATCTGAAACCTGCTTTGAAAACTCTGGGCATAACTCAGAAAATTGAGAAGGCTAGACTTGAGCTGAGTGACATACAAGGATAAATTTCACAGGGTTGCACTGATACTTTACTTGATATGGAGAAAAAAGTCCTACTAAATCTTCAGAAGTGGTCTTTATTTGAAGAAAATATCCTTCAATAGAAAGCTAGATCAAAGTGGATACAACTGAGGATTCAAACTCTAAGTACTTCACAGAAGTGATGATTGATAGAACTCAAAAAAAGCAAATCATAGAAAATGATACATTGCTAGGAGATAAGCTGACTGACCTTGATGCTATTAAAAGAGAGATCGTTGATTTCTAAAAAAGTTTAATGGGAATAGCTGCAACCATCTTGTCTGCCGTAAACAGAACATACATGAAGCATGGGCCTATACTATCACACCAGCAAAGGGTTGATCTATGTGCAGAAGTAACCAATCAAGAGATTGTTGAGAGCCTTAAAGCAATTGGTGATGATAAAGCTCCAGGCATTGATAGCTTTAATGCAGTTTTCTTCAAGAAAGCCTGGGACATTATCAGTATACAGATCATAGATGTTGTGAAGTGTTCTTTACAACTAGGAAGTTATATAAGGCCATAAACTGCACTATTGTTACATTTGTGCCTAAAGTGAATAAACCTACCACAGTTAAAGAGTACAGACCAATAGCCTGTTGTTCAATACTTTACAAGATGATCTCTAAAATCATGGCCTCCAGATTACAGAAAGTCATGCCTTACATCATTTGTGAGGCTCAAGCAGGCTTCATTCCTGGTAGAAAGATTACTGATAATGTCATTTTAGCTCATGAGCTTGTCAAAATCCTACACAAGAGCTCAGATATCTCCTAGATGTATGATAAAGATTGATCTTCATAAAGCTTATGATTCAGTGGAATGGATCTTCTTACAGCAGGTTATGGAGGAGCTTAGATTTTTTATTAGATGGATAATGGAATGTATTAAGACTGTCAACTATACTATTCTTGTGAACGGGGAAACCACAAAACCATTCAATGCTACCAAGGGTCTTCGACAAGGGGACCCTATTTCCCCTTTTCTCTTTGCTATAGTGATGGAATACCTGAGTAGATCACCGCATGGACTTAAGAAGGAGCCTGACTTCCAATATCATCCCAGATGTAGGAAACTTGGTATCACTCATATGAGTTTTGCTGACGACCTTCTGTTATTTGCTAAGGGTAATCTCTCTTCTATGGGTGCACTTTACAAATGCTTTACTCAATTCTCTCAGGTATCAGGCTTACAGGCTAATATAGGAAAAAGTTCAGTATATTTTGGTGGTGTAAAGCAAGCTGTGAAGGACAAGATATTGTCACACCTGGGATTTACAAGTGGATCCTTACCCTTCAAGTACCTAGGCATCCATTTGTCTACAAAGAAAATAGCTCTCATACAGTGGCAACCATTGATTGAAAAGATCACAGCCAAGATTTCCTCCTGGACTGCTAAGAAGTTGTCTTATGTTGGTCGTGTGCAGCTGGTCCAATCTGTAACCTTTGGTATACAAGCATATGTGGCTCAATTGTTTATCTTATATGCTAAGGTACTGAAAATGATATAGGCATTTTGTAGAAGCTACATCTGGTCTGGAACTAATACAATAAACAAGAAGTCCTTAGTAGCATGGGAAAAGATTTGTACTCCTAAGTCAGCTGGTGGACTTAACCTCATCAACCTTCCTCTGTAGAACAAAGCAACTATTGCCAAATCTTGCTGGGACTTAGCACATAAATAGGACAAGCTATGGATAAGGTGGATCACCGCATATTATATCAATTCACCAACAGCTCCAACAGATGCCTATACCTCAGCAAGCCAGTTGGATGGTGAGATAAATAATAGGATCCAGAGCAACTTTGCTGCAGACACAAAATATACATGATAACAGGAAAAGTATCATTAGACAAATATACTTGTAGCTCCTAGGTGAATTACCAAGAGTAAATTGGAAATGTCTGATTTTTCAGAATACCGCTAGGCCAAAGGCAGTCTTCACTATGTGGTTGTTGCTATATGGAAGATTACCAACTAAAGATAGGCTAGCCAACTGGGGAATAACTGTTACCTCTCAATGTGTTATGTGTCAAGATCAGGAAGAATCAAGGGAGCACATCTTTGTCACATGCCCATACACTGTTGAACTGTGGAAAAAAGTAATGTCTTAGGTCCAAAGATTACATATGTCTGCCACTTGCTGGGATCAACATCTTCAGTGGATCATCAAGCAAGGAAAAGGGAAGTCACAGAAGGCTAGCATCTTCAAAATGATCTATGCTGAGGTTTCACATGCAATATGGATAGAGAGAAACACACGTATATTTGAGCAAAGGTATCGAGGGAATGATGTCCTGGTGCTGGAGATTGCACACATATGCAAATGCTAGAGTAGCTGCTCGAGCTAGGAGTTACATACAACGATTTTGGCTAGGAACATAGTAGATTGAATAGTTTGTTTGTAAATAGGTACGATTTATTTTTGTCTTTCAGTTTTGAGATAGCCAGCTGAGTAGCATGGCTATAGTTCTGTACAATCCTTCTTTGGTGATTAATACAAAAGAAATTTAATTACCAAAAAAAAATGTAGCTTATAAACCTTGTAAACCACTTTGTTTATAGAGAGTTTAATACACAATGTAGAAGATATCTTACACACCAGATTGTTACTTAAAGGATAACGACAAGTAATTCTACGTAATAAATTTAACTGCTTACTTGGAAAATAAGGCAGGCGTCCGGTTCCAAACAAGTCGGGAACATACTCATTCTGTTCCAGTTTATGTATACGCTAGTTCCATATTTGGGGAGTAAAATGCTTCACGTTAAGAAACTCTTAATTCTTAGTTCTCGAACTCAAGAAGAAATCTCAACCATTTCACCGCACCTTTGGTGTAGCTACCGGAACTGATTTCGTGTAGTTTATGCCTTTGAGAGGACTAAATATGGGCAAGAAAATGCTCAAACAAGTAGGCAGTAGAAAAATGGAAGAAAAAGAGAGATAAGTAATGGTGTGGGAAAAACCCCTAAATGTACTTTAGAGAAAAGCAAAACATATAATTTCCAACCATAATAAATACATAACAGTGAATTTTCTTAATACGTTAAGTTAAAAAAGTCAGGGCTATTGTCTCGAATATGTTTACAGTTATAACATAAATGTGATTAAAATCTGTCAAAGCTAATTGTCAAGTACACATAAGTTCAGTCTAAGACCCTTAAAGGACGAACCTATCAAATTCAAATCCTGGATCCGCTTTTGATTTCTTCCCGAGATAGCTTAGTCCATAGTGGCAGCAGCTTGCTAAAAACTTCTTAGTTCTTCCTATGAAGCCACCACTTCATCGCGTTCAATGCATCGTGTCTCAGTACGCGCCATATTCTTTCCTATTCCTGTAGTTGTTTTCCAGTGAAAACAATTTAGGGATCATTTACCTAAGCACCACGGTGCATAAGAGGTGATGGGAAGAAACAGCACAAAGTACCAGGTAGACAAAGAAAACTGCTCGGGGCGAGGAGACTGGATAAAGTACACTGGACTCGACGCTCACAACTCTTTTGAATGCTTCTGTGACAATCTGTATATCCGGAATGCTGCAAAGCACATTGTGGCATTACCTATTACTGTCAAAGCTGCTTGGAGAGCAACTACTACCTGAAAATTCATGCACGAAACGTAAGGCATATCTCCATGACAGAAACAATATTCTGCTATACCCAAGATTTTAAGGGTAAATGCATGTTAACGGCAGCCTATAAGGGAATGTGTTACGAGAGATCAACAAACAACTTCCTCGTCAATCCCTTAGAACATTAACCTGATCACCATTTTTGCTTCGTTATTTGTCCCTTTTAATGTTAATTACATAGAGTTTAACAACAACATACCAAGTGTAATCCCTCATTGTGGGGTCTGCGGAGGGTAAAGTGTAGGCAGACTTTACCCCTACCTTGAGGGGGGGGGGGGTAGGGGGGGGTAAGGAGGGGGGGGAAGGAGGAGGGGGAGGGGGAGGGGGAGGGAGAGAGGTTGTTTCCGAAAGACCCTTGGCTCAAGAAAAACTACATCGGGCTTAACATATTTTGTAAAATTATTCACAAGAGAATGTGAAGGGGGTTATGTCTAAACTAGGCTGCGTATTAGGATAGTGAAACTGTCATATTATATACTCAGGTGAATGTCATTGCAATAGTTAGTCCAATAGAAGTTCATAATTTTCATTCTAGGAAAAGAATTACCTCAAGAGACTCCGAGTTGTAAAAGAAATGCCAAGTGCAGGCGCAGAGTGCTCCTCCAAGCAGAGGCACCTAAATTAGAAAGTAGTAAATGAAGTCACTTATGAGCCAATAATTGGGCCAAAAAAAAGGAAGAGGAAGACGCAAAGATGGGGAAGAAAGAAAGTAAGATAAGTGCTAAATGATCAAGAGGATCATGAAGTGATTATCAACACGACTAACAACAACAACAACAATAAACCCAGTATAATCCCACCTAGTGGGGTTTGGGGAGGATAGTGTGTACTATCAGCACGACCATTTAAATTAAAAACATCACCTACAAGCCAACAACTGGGCAAAAAACAAAGGAAGAAAGATTCAGAGATGGAGAGAAAGGATTACTGAGGTAAGTGCTGAATGATCGAAGAGAGACATGAAGTGATAACTCAGAATGACCAATCAAATAAAACACATCAGTTTGTTAAGAAAGTGAAAAAATAAACCTAAAGAGCAAGAAGTTCTAAACTCCATGGATAGCTGCCAACTATATGAATCACATGTACATGTTTTCTGCCACCGCTCTCTATGAAGCATTTCACGGATGGAGAGCAATGTCACTAAGGTCGGCCAAAATCCACAAGTTTAAATTTTGTATCTTGGTTGACATGCCTATTTGGAAGTGAGACATAGTTGTTATTGTTGCTTTTGGCTGATGAAATTATTGAATATACAATAAAATAAAATAAAAAAGGACTTCATAAACACCACTACTTCTCCCTCAAAGAATCATCCGTGAGTCAATCAAAACCCTACTATGCTCTGCAAGGTTTGGGATCGAGGGAATGGAGGAAACAGATTGGTGGGAGATAATCGGAATCATGAAAGGATGATAATTTGACTGCAATAAGGGGTGGCAGTAAACATATTCATTTCAGCCTCTTATTGTTTGTGTTTATTACATTTTAGTAATAAAGTGTTGATCGGCTAATTGATTAAACTCAACCACAATCCACAAAGAGAGAATGAAGAGGAAAAATTTTAAAGGCCTAAAGCATCTTAGCGCGGTCATACTATAACAAGAGAAACGAGTTTACCTATGAATATACACAAGAGAACAGAATTTTTTAATTAACAGGAAAGACAGTTCTGGCGTAACTGGTAAAATTGCGGCCATGTGACCAGTAGGTCATGGTTCGAGTTATTGAAACAGCCTTTTGCAGAAATGCAAGGTAAGGCTGCATACAATAGACCCTTGTGTTCTGGTTAAGGCTGCATACAATAGACCCTTGTGTTCTGGCCCTTCTCCAGACCCCGCGCATAGCGGGAGCTTAGTGCACCAGGCTGCCCTTTTACAGTTCTGTGTTTCCAGAAGAACACTATTTAATCATAACAGCCATTTCTATTGCACCACATATAGGCCCTGATCCGATGTTCTGCGACTCTTATATTACAGCGATGAGTGTACAATGTCGAGAAGCTTTGCATGTAATTCAGCTATGACTCGGCTACAGACTTAACATATGAATAGACCCAACTTATTTTTTTCAAGTTTCTATATAATACCATACCAGGGAAAGTTTTTGTTTTGAGCAACAAAAGTATTTCACCTATTGTTCTTTTTGGAGTATTTTGAGTTCAACTGCCTAGTTGCGACGCTAAGTCTACTAAACTGCCATCTCATTTAACAACAGTTCAAACAAAGATTGAGAAGGGACGATATAGCAATATCATCAATCAAACTGAAATTTTCCACGCGTTGAGATAAGTCGTTTTCAAAAAGTATATACAGTTAATGTAAAGCTCGTTGACATAAAACAGATTCAATATTGTAGGCATAAAGAACAGAACTCGAGCAAATTAAACAAACAAGAATGAGCAAGATTACTTACCATAGCCCAGGAGAGTCCCTTCCAAGATTCATAACCTGACTTCTCACCGTATTGCCAAACCAGAGCCATAGCAGTTACCCTTTTGTACAGAGTAAATAATCAGTCATTTCATTTAACACAAAAGAAAAAAGAACATATGAACAGATCAACTTGCCAACCCAATACTGCGATGAAGTGCATTGCACATTGCAATACTCCTCCTATCCCAATTTCAGCTATTTCTAAAAATTCAAATTCATTATATTATTCAAATTAATATAAGATGTAATATTTTAAAAGGGCAGCCCGGCACACGAAGCATCCTGCGTTTACGCAGGTCCAGAAAAGGGCCGCACCTCAAGGGGGTGTGACGTAGGCAGTCTACCCCCAATGCAAGCATCAGTGGCTGATTCCGTTATACTTTGAGATCATTCATACCTCATTAGCAAACTATCTTGTACTTGCCCTTGACCCAAGCAGAGCTAAGTGTAACGGATAATAATTATAAACAACAGTCGAGTGTAGAAGAGTAAATTTAAACACTTTTCCCCAAGTATTTTCAGACACTAAATTCACTAACCCATGTGGGAGCTTCTTTAAAGCCAAGGGCAAACATGAGGCGATTTGCTAATGTCAAGAGTATGGCGACCCCAAAGTATACTGGAGGTTAAAATTAAGATATTTCAAATAGTAGACGGGTAAATTTGGACATTTTACCAATAATATTAATCCGGGGCTAATCCATAGCATGTGTTACAGAGTATTCTGAACCCAGTAGCTTTAGCTCAAACCTTGTACATGCGTTTAAATACCTACCAAAAGGGCAGCCTGGTGCATTAAGCTACGCAGCCTTACCTTGCATTTTTGCAAAACAACCCGTGACCTCCTGGTCACATGGCAGCAACTTTACCAGTTATGCCAACGCTCCCCTTCCGTTTAAGAACATACTAAATTAGTAAAAATGATAGATTTCGGACCAATAAATTAAATGAACTGTGATCGAATCTCGAATGCATAAAGTATTTGATCCGCCTCTAATAATATATGGATCAAATTAAAATCATAAACTCCTTTTTAGACAAATAACAACGCAGTGAAATCCCAAACGTGGGGTCTGGAGAGGATAGTGTGTACGCGGACCTTAGCCCTACCCTGGAAGATAGAGAGGTCCAAAAGTCCGGCGGCTCAAGAAAGATGAAAGAAACAGTAAAAAAACAAGCAATATCCACAAATAGGGCCAGAAAGATAAATATAATCACTTAAAATGAAAAAGAGATATTACCACTCAACAACACTAGAAACATGACTAGCCCAAGTGTGTAATGAGAGAGCATTTGAGGGTTCATTAAATTGGAATGAAGAACCCATTAAAGCTAATTCAGAACCAGAGGCAGGTCCCACATTTAACATTGTAAAACCAAGTCCAGTGACACCCAAAACAGTGGCAGCATTATATTTCAAGTTCTGAGATGGAATACTGATAATGGGTACTGGAAATTGGGCTCTTTTTCTTGAAAAGAACAGAAAGTTTGGAGCTTTAGTTGACAAGGTGAATTGGGTTTGTTTTTGTTTTGGAAGAATGTGAAGTTTTGAGAGAGATAATGAGGTTGAAACTGCCATTGATGTTTGTTTGAGGACTACTAAGTGGAGTGTTGGATTTTGAGTAAAGATGTTTCAGATAAGAGATAAAATGACAAAAAGGTCCTTTATGACTTGAGTAAGCATTTATAAAAAAATTTAAATTCACGAGTAGTGACTAAAAATAAAAATAAAAAAATACAGTTTGCAGTAGTAGAATATTTTTGGACCTCGTAAAATGTAATTAGGATTACTGATTTAAATTTGGCCTAATCTATTAAAAGCTACCCTATATTTATGGAAATTTTACCTCCTACAACATAGGTATACACCCTATTTATTATAAACCAAAATTATTTTAAAATATTATTTTCTATAGTTACCTTTTATATTTTATAGCAAAATAAGTATTTATGGTATATACTACAATTGAGGCATTAAATAAATACGCTATTTATGCTTTTCCTCTCTCTTACTTTCAATTGACACATGATTCTCTCTCATAATTTTTCATCTTTCTCTGTCTCTTTCTTCTCTCTCTTCGAATCATAGATGAACGAGAAACAAATCATGAAAGAAAGCCTAAAAATCTCAAAATCAGAAACATGAAAGTAAACCTATGATCAAAAAAAGGAAGCGGAGATACCTTGGGCGACGGAAAGATCGAAGAGAAAGAGGGATTCATAGCGCGGAAAGTAAGAGAGAAAAGAGGAAGAAGCGATCGAATTGGAAGCGTTGTAAATTGGAAGAGGTAGTGAAGAGATAAAAGGAGTCTTCGCTGAAAAACGCCATCTCCGACGAACTTTGTTCTCTTCTTTGCTATTTAGTCATATACAATGATACAAATACATTATATTCTGTACAAATTCACTCAAACACATTGTATTTTTGTATAAATATATATTTTTTTTGCCCTGTGTTTATGTATTACGAAGGTCTGTATTTTTTTAATACAGCCGAATACACATATATTCATGCATACTGTACATACAGTACGCATAAATACAAAATATAAACATTGAAATACACTGAATATAAACAGTGAATACATTTAATTTTAAAATATAGTAAAATACAGTAAAATACACTGGATACAAATAGAAATACAGTGAATTCAACCAATGAAATATACTGAATACAACAGTAATAACATGTATTAGGAATAACTAAAATATTGGTAATACAAATACATTTGAATACACTGAATATACAATAGTGAATTCAGTAAATACAAACATTGAATCTAATGAATGGAACAATAAACTAAATATTGAAACACACTAAATATAAAAGTTATATACAACTGAAAAATCGTTATAATTAATTGGGTTGATAAAGAGGCATGCTAGAATTGATTTTGTTGAATTATATTAGGAGATGATATTGTTTCTGTTATTAGATAGCTAGACATACCTATTTTTAAGGTGATTGTCGTTAGTGTGCGTACAACTGGACTGCCCTGATTTTAAGCGCTTTTTGCTATTGTATTCATTAATACATGACGCGGATACATGCGCATGCACTTTTTGCTGTTGTATTCATGAATACAACAGCGCGAATACACTACCGTAACAACTGAATAGTAGCTATAGGCAGTAATTATGTATATGATAGCTATAAGAAGTTAATAGCCACTAAACAATAGTAGTTTCTGAAAATTCCTCTTCCATTATCCATCTATTAAACTATTATCTGACTAGTTTTAATGTACACATGTTGCACATGTACCTTTTTCGATAAGTAGTAGTATTTTTTTAAAAAATCACATAAATATTATATTAAAATTATGTTTGAGTTATAAAGTAAGAGTTTACACACCAGACAGTCAGATTAACCAGACAAAACTAGAGGAGATCGTGTCATATAATTCGTGTGTAAGAGGAATCTACTAGTTTTAACATACACGTGTTGTATGTATATTGTTTTTTATAAGTAATGCTTTTTAAAATCACATACGTAAATTAAAAATTATATTTGAGTCATAAAATAAGAGTTTGGGAATCCCCAAATGTCTCTATTACCGGAAAGCCTACAAAACTAAGAAGGGAAAGAGGAAAAGGAACTTGTACGTGTTAGATTGTTCGTGTAGACGGAAAATAATCCTATTTAAAATGGATGGCGTGAATTTGTCAAATGCTCGAGAAGCCGCTATATGAAGAGACAGTCAAATGACAAAGATGTCACAATTTGAATCAACAACAACAAACCCACTATATTTCCACAGGTAGAGTCTGGGGAGGGCAGTGTGTAAGCAGACCTTACCCAAACCCACTATATTCCTACAGGTAGAGTCTGGGGAGGGTAGTGTGTAAGGAGACCTTACCCATATCTGAATCACAATACCACAAATTTGAAGCTTAAAACTTTATGAATCTGAGCTCAGTGTGCTTATCAATCCCTTAATAATACAAGGCATTTGTCCAAAAAGTAATACAAGGCAATTGAAATCTTCAACAAAGAGCCTTTTGGGCAGCACATTTCTTGAAAAATTACAGATGGAATGATGAGGAGAAAAAACACATTCCACATAAAATTGTGGTGATATGATACCATTCTTTAATTGTAAGGTTCTTGACACCACAAGAACCTCCGCGACGGAGATTTTTTCAAGATCTCCTCTTTTTTCTCGTTTTTTCTTTCTAATAACCGAGAAATCTCCTAAGGTCAGCTCGTGCACGGTTCGAACTTGGTGGATATTCTATTTAAGATCACTTTTAGAAGTATAATATCTTATATCACCCAATAACAGTTTCTTTCTTCTTAGCCCACAGCATTACTAGAGAGAAGCCCATTAATGACATGATCACAACCTGCAAAAAGGGTACAAAGCAGATGTTCTAAGAAACACAACAACAACAACAAACCCAGTATAATTCACGAGTGGGGTCTGGGAAGAGTAGTGTGTACGCGGACCTTACCCCTACCTTGAGGGTAGAGAGGCTGTTTCCGATAGACCCCCGGCTCAAGGAAAGAAAAAAAGAAAGAGATGTTCTAAGAAATGACTAGAAATTTTCAGAAGAACAAGCTAAGGAAAATGGAGCATATGTTAAACCTACAAGCTTCAACCTTTCATCACTAATGTTCACCAAATAAGTGAAGAGTTAAACTAAGGACTTAAGTTCTATACACTGATAGTGTAAAGAATTTATACGTTATTAGTGCATTTTACCTGTTATAGCAAGTAACCTGCCTTATTTACCAGATTAACAATTGTATCTATTAAGGACGTTTACTTGCTGTTATCTAATAGTCCTAATATCACATAAACAGATGTACCGGTGTCCCGTCAACCTAAAACTAAACATCATAAAAATGAGTCACCTCTTTCATAAAAATGACCCAATTCAGATTTGTATAAATCATGGGGTGGACCTAGTGTTTAAGTAGTGGGTTCGTTACTATATATATATATATATATATACTGGAAGTTCATCAGAGGTGATGTATATTAAGAGAACTGAACCCAGTGTTTTGAGAGACGAATGGGTGCATTGACATTTGCTCCTCTAGTTACATCCCATATCCGCCCTCTGGTATCAGTACTTGTATTATAATTAAGATGAAAAGATATAAAGCTAATCCTTTGAGGCAATTTTGAGTAATTAGAACTTTGATTAGAGAGCTTAGGCCAAAGACTATAATTTCGCTACTACCAAATCAACTCTCCTTTTTATCTTCTTCAGTAGGGGATGAAGTTCATATAATCGATAGCGTACTTACTGATATAGCTGGAGGGACACCAACAAGAGGATCTTGGAAAAACTTATTCGCAAGAGCAAGGGCAAGAAGACTGCTCTGCATGCCTGCAAACGAGACATAGAATGACAACATCAATCAAGATCCAATAAGTGAAGGTTGACAATATTAGGTAAGCTTCAAACCTGTTTCATATGACAGCGTTCTTTGTAGAGCTTTGACGTCTGGTGCTCTGTGAAAGGCTATGCCGGAAAGTAAATAACCTAAGATGAACGCCGACAAATGAAATGCAATCACAAGCAACAAAACAGACATTCCAGATGGGGATACGAGAGACTCTATGTTAATAGCAAGCGGAGCTCCAACACAAAGAGCAGTCACAAAAACTGATAGTGGAGGCAACAACGGCCGAATTGCATTACAAATCTGCGGAAAGAATCTGTTGAAGCGATATCAAAAGTCATAAGAGTGAAGTTCGGATTGTAGAAGGATACACATAATGAGTATTCACAACATTATTACCCATTCAGAAGCAGTCCACCAGCAACAGGTGCAACGACAATCTGCAGTATGTTGGAAACCATTCCCTTAACATCCACAGGCAACTTTTTGCCAATAAGCAATAATGATAAAATAGGGGTGACAAAAACAGCAGTAGCTGTCGATAACGATGTCATCACTATACTAAGAGGGGCCAATTGTGGATCTGTTAGAAAAGTAGCGTAATTTGACAGCTGTGCTCCACTAACACAAGAGGTCAACATAATCCCTGCAGCTGATACACAGCTCACAGAACTTTAGTCAACATTGAACATGCTATTTTCTTTCCCGATAAAGTAATCAGAGAATTTACCTAAGGAAGTTGGAAGGCCAAATATGGTCATTGCAAGTGTGCCGAAAAGATACCCGAGCAGGGGCTTCACAGCAAATTGACCAATATAACCAGCAAAAATTGCAGCTGGTTTCTTGAAAGCTTCAAGAAAGTCTTTTTCACTTGAGTTGACTCCAACTGCAAACATTAAAAACCCCAATGCAGGGGCATAGTACCTAGAAACGGTAAACGACACGGTAACTATGAGATTATAAGATGAGGTTAAAAAAAACTGAGCATTTTGGACTCTTTGGTGTACGCTCTGCAACTTTTTGTCTCATAATACGGCTCTCTAGCTTTCCAAGCCAGGCAGTGTGAGAGACCAAAATAGTGCAATATTGAAAGACGGACTTTTTCCAGCATTCAAGTCTATACCTCATCCTTTTCTAGAGGTGTTACATGGGTACAAAATTAGATATTTTCATGGAAAACTTTCAACATGATTCTCATGTAAGATGGAATTACTCTCAAGTCTCACCTCTCGCGCAGGTCTCTACCTTACCCTCTTGTTACAACTAGTAGCAATTGGTCAGACATAGAAGTCTCAACATACATTTATGAGGATAAGTCAAATTATATGATCAACCGATGAGATGTTCACCAAGCGTTATAAAGTTTTCTTTTTCGCCGAGAATGTGGTTAATTATTTGTGCTGGCAAAATTTATATGAGTTTCTTCCTACAGCCTTGTTTTTAATACATGGAAGGCACTTGCGTTATGCGGTAACCAAATTTAGATAACATGTCAAACAGCTTCCATGTCAACGAATTGAATTCTTCGTCTAGCAGACAAAAGTAGCAGTTAACAAGATAAAATTTTAAAAGTAAGTATCCTACAGTTATGTTACAACTCCAATTAAAGTTATCAAACGTACAGCATAATTTTTCAGCGAGGCTTAAAGTAGATAACATGAGAGACCTGTGGGATAGAACAAAATCATTTAGAAAATAGGCATCAATTGAATGATATACAAACCTGTTGGTAAACCACGTAAAAGAAGGTGGATATATAAGAGCCAAAATTGTGCTACCAATAACCACATGGGGCAGAAAAGAGTTTGCTCCCTTCAAAATTGTCAATAGGGTGTTCTCTTTTTGTTTCAGATTCTGAAATAGCACAAAGTCTATTGTTAAAGATAGTCAAATCCCACAATTCAGAGGTGGGCTTCGAAACATCCAAGAAAACAATTTAACCCCTCTTTCCCCTATTATGTTTTTCGCCATTTTCTAAAATATGGGGATACGCAGATTAGGTTTAAGAACAAAGATATGAGGTATTTAGCCCTTTTAGCTTCACAGGTTCAAGAGAAAGAAGCGTTAGAGAAGAGAAGTACTGAACCAATCCAAACCTTCACCTTCTATAGCAGATAGTAAGGGCAGTCCGGTACACTAAGCTCCTGCTATGTGCGGGGTCCGAGGAAGGGCCAGACTACAAGGGTCTATTGTACGCAGCCTTACCCTCATTCTGCAAGAGGTTGTTTCCACGGCTCGAACCCGAGATCACATGGCAACAACTTTACCAGTTATGCCAAGGCTCCCCTTCAGTAATAGCAGATAGTACATCAGCTTAAGGGAAAATGAAGTGGCTAAAGGAGCAAATAATTTTGCTTCCCAACTCAAATGCTTCTCATATTTGGGACTTTATGCACATAAAAAGAGAACATTACCGATCAAGCTCAGATTACAAAGACACAAAGTTATTCACAGCCGTACCCTCTCAGAGAAAATGGCTTTTGCCAATAAATTACAAGTCTCTAATTACTCTATTCCAAATACAAATACAAGTCAAAGACAGAAACATACAATTGAACTTTTGAGTAGAAAGATTGATAAGTTCAAAAGGAAAACCTCAAGTGATTCAGAGTCACTAGGCCCAAGCGAATCAGAGAACTTTTCTGAGATACATCTACTAATTAACAGTCTTGAATTACCACCTATACAAAAAGATCACATTTATAAGTAAAGAGTACATCAAAAAGGGCTAATTCCATGATCACTATAATAGCAAAGTCAGTAAACTATTTTTTTATAACTTTACCCAATGTATCAGTAAAGTAACTAAATTTTACCCGATACAATAGTTTTACGACTTTACCATAGCTTAGTAGCAGTAAAGTTATACCCGTATGACCTATAGGTCACGGGTTCGAGCCGTCGAATCAGCCACTGATGCTTGCATCAGGGTAGGCTGCCTACATCACACCCCCTGGGGGTGCGGCCCTTCCCCGGACCCTGCGTAAACGCGTTCGTGCACCGTGCTGCCCCTTTTACCGTAGCTCAGTGACCATACATGAAATTAACCTCATTATTAACTAAACTTGAGAAGCAAAAAGGATTCAAACTTTAAGCAAAGTACACTACAATTGGGTACAAAAACACTTACTTGCCAATGTGGATTGCATAGTTGATGAGAACCCCTTTAATCGTACCCCTTCAAGAACACCGGTATAAGTTACACCAATTCATCAAAAGGGACTGTAGAAATACATTTGATACTGAAAAAAATCATAAAAATCTGTTCCTTTTTTTAATCAATCGTACCCTTCAAGAATCCAAGTACAAATTGAACTAATTCATCAAAAGGGACACTAGAAATACACTTGAACCTGGAAAAAAATCATAAAAAACTGTTTTTTTTCTACTTACAAGTATAATTGGATTAATTCATCAAAAAGGACAGTAGAAATACACTTGATACAGATAAATAAATCATACAAAACTTACAAGTATAATTGGACTAATTCATTAAAAAGGGACAGTACAAATACACTTGATACAGAAAAAAAAATCATAAAAATCTCTTCTTTTTTCTACTCACAAATACAATTGGACTAATATATCAAAAGGGGCAGTTGTAATGCACTTAATACTGAAAAAAATCTCTTTTTTTATTTTTTTTTATTTTTTCTACTTACAAGTATAATTGGATTAAATTCTTCAAAAGGGAGAGTAGAAATAAACTAGATACTGATAAAAGATCATAAAATTTTGTTCTTTTTTCTACTTACAAGTATAATTGGACTAATTCATAAAAAGGGGCAGTAGAAATACACTTGATACTGAAAAAAAAAAATCATAAAAATCTCTTTTTTTCTACTTACAAGTAAAATTTGACTAATTCATAAAAAAGGGGCATTGAATTATACTTGATACTGAAAAATAATCATAAAATCTATTAATTTCTACTTGAATTAACAAACCTGAGGAGTGGAAGCATTTCCATTTCTTGGGAAAAGAAACAAGAGTGTGTTGGTAAAAGCAAGGCTGAGATTTCTGATGCAAAAATTTGAAACCTTGATTATACTGCTGCTGCTGCTGCTGAAGAAGAAATTTACTACTGAGACTCATTTTTATTTTTTTTTAATCTTAATTTTCAGAGAAAGTAAAGCGGAGTTTTTTGGGGTCTAATAATATAATTCAGTGACCCAATTTTAGAAATCAATGACTCGGGGGAAGGGACCAAAATCGGCTGGGAGATCTATTTTTTCATATTTTAGGAATCTTATTTATTTATTTTTAATTTAAATTGTAAGTAATTTTCCTAGAGGAAATACACATTGTAAAGAAAATGTATTTTTTAGTTTCAGTTTGTTTGGATGGATGTTATATATGGTTTCTTGATGTATCATATCATATTGTATTATTTATATTGTATTGTATAATATTAGTCTATATATTGTTAAATAAATTGTATCAATTTTCGTAATATTACATACTAGCAATTCGAAGAATCTTATTGCGTTCGTCGCTTCATAATGTCATACACCAATAATTTAAAGAATATATGTATAATATTACAAAGAAAAAATAGAGTATGAGGTAGAGTGATTATTAAAAGGTGGGATGAAGAGTAAAATAAAATTATAGTAAAGGCAAGATGAGAAAAAAATAAGATAAGGACGCGACCATAAATAAAATAAAAATAAAATCAAAAATAAATATTACGTTTACACTAACAATACGATACGATACAATATGTAACCATTCAAACAAACTGTAATAGAAATGCAGGGTGAAATTCAAAAATAGCCAGATTTACAAGGGGTAATTGAAAAATAGCCACAGTTTCAAAAGTAATCGAAATTTAGCCACTTTTCATGTAAAGATAAATCTGATCGAAAACACTGTTCAAAATCCGGAAAAATGCAGCATAATATACTGGAGTTCCAGTATAATATATTGGAGTTCTAGCATAATATACTAGTCCAGCATAATATGCTGGAAGTTCATATACAGGTGCTCCAATCTCTAGTATATTATGCTGGAACTTTTCGTGTGTTGGAGTTCCAGCATAATATGCTGGAAGTTCATACACAGGTGCACAAATCTCCAGTATACTATGCCGGAACTTTCCGTATTGCAGTAAAATAATGGCTATTTTTCAGTGACTTTACAAACACTGGTTATTTTTTAATTACCAGTCCGAAAACTGGCTAGCCCGTGCTATTTTCATAGAAACATGTTATGGGATATTTGGTTCTTTCTCTACTTGTGATGATCCGAAAGGTCATCTTGTATTTTAGAACCCAATTCGGGGTTCCGAGGCCTTCAAAACCTCATCTTATTTCTCCTTGATTTGTCTGCGCAGTCCGGACGCGCTTCCGGAAAGCCTTTATGTGAAAATTTGAGAAAATAATAGTTTTTGCCTTTAAAAGTTGATTTTAGTTGACTTCAGTCAATATTTTGAGTAAACGGACCCGGACCCGGACCCGTATTTTAACGGTCCCAGAGGGTCCGTAGTAAAATATGGGATCTGGGCGTATGCCTGGATTCGAATTCCGAGGTCCCTAACCCGAGAAATAAATTTTTGATGAAAATTGTTAAACTGAAATTATAATGGTTTTGAGAAAATGGTTAATAATTAATTTCGTTAGTATCAGGTCTGTTTTTGGTTCTGGAACCCGGTACAGGTCTGTTATGATATTTATACCTTATATGTGAAATTTGGTGAGAAATGGAACTAATGTGACGTGATTCGGACCTTGGGTTGAGAAAATAGAAGTTTTGAAACTTTCTTGAAAATTTCATGCAATTTGGTGCTAAATTCATAGTTCTAGGTGTTATTTTGGTGATTTGATCGCGCGAGCAAGTTCGTATGATGTTTTAAGAGTGTATGTTTGGGTTGGAGCCCTGAGGGCTTGGGTGAGTTTCGGATAGGCTACGGAGTGATTTGAACTTAAGAAAATTGCCGGTATGCTTCAGGTCTGCAGACTTCGCAATTGTGAGGTCTGGCTCGCATATGCGAGCCTCGAATTTGCGAAGATTGTTCGCATTTGCGAAGCAGGGGAGGAGACTGGGTAGTTCGCATTTGCGAAGAAAAAGGCCGCATTTGCGGAAGTCCTTGTTTGCATTTGCGACTAGGACTTCGCATTTGCGAAGGCAGCAGAAATGTGAGGGGTTCGCATTTGCGATACCTTTCTCGCATTTGCAAGCTTCGCAAATGCGAAGCTCTGGTCGCAAATGCGACATCTGCAGCTGATAAGTTTTGGACTTAGACGGAATTTTTCATTCATTCTCCCATTTTTCAAAACCTAAACTTCAAGAGACGATTTTCCAAGGGCTAGTTCTTCCCCAAATCATAGGTAAATAATTCTTAACTCATTTCTTTCAATCTATTACATCTTTTCACAAAATTTCATCCTAGAATCTAGGGTTTTCGTGGTGGAATTGGGTGTTTTTGGATAGAACTTAGGAATTTTGAAATTTGGGGATTTAGACCTCAAATTAAGGTCGGATTCCAAAACCAATTGTATATCCGGGCTCGGGGGTGAATGGATAATCGGGTTTTGGTCCGAACCTCGAGTTTTGACCAAGCGGGTTCGGTGTCGATTTTTGACTTTTTGGGAAAAATGTTGGGAAACTTGTAATTGTGTATTGGAATTGATTTCTTTAGCAATAATTGATATTATTAAGTTAATTATGACTAGATACGAGTGGATTGGATGTGGAATCTAGAGGAAAAGCGATAATTGAGGCTTGAGTTTAGCCGTGGAATCGAGGTAAGTGTTGTGGCTAACCTTAGCTTAAGGTATTAGGTATTGTTGAGTCTATTTGCTACGTGTTTGATATTGAGTACAACGTATAGGTAAGGTGACGAGCACCTATGCGTTGTTGTCGAGTCATAGCATGCGAGTTGGTCTTATTCTTGTAACTGTTGTACTCTTTGATCATATATTTCATGTTTAGACTTGTTATTCCGTGTGTTGAACAACTCTTATCATGTCTTACGAAGTTTGGTACTGATTGAGTATTAACTCAGAGTTGAGACTGGTATTGTGAAATTAAATGTTGAAGTAAGACCGGTTCTTGATATTTTTATCTCCTTGTTGTTATTGTTCATGTTTTGGTGAGGGAGAGTGTTAAAGCACGAAGGGTGATGCCGTGCAATGCATTATGTGAGTGATAATGCACGAAGGGTGATGCCGTGTCGTATTCTGTGAGTGATAATGCACGAAGGGTGATGTCGTGCCATGTTATGAGAGAGTTGATGCACGAAGGGTGATGCCGTGCCGTTTCTATTGTTTCTTATGGTAAGGACGAGAGTAAAAGCATGAAGGGTGATGTCGTGCACTTGTTTTCTATGTTATTTCTTTCGTTGTTGTAAAGCATGTTATTTACTACGTTTCCTCACCGTACTATTTCAGGATTTGATATTCCCCTCAGCATGTTTCTCCCCATTCCTGTTAATATCTGCTTAAATTCCCATTTGTTGTTATTTTCTTGTATATGATTTAACTGCACAGGTTCATATTATTGTCGTGTCTTAGCCTCGTCACTACTTCGCCGAGGTTAGGCTCGGCACTTACCAGTACATGGGGTCCGTTGTACTGATACTGCACTCTGCACTCTCTGTGCAGATTTCGGTACAGGACCGCGTTGATCAGAGTTGGGTTGCTGCCTTCAGTCCAACAGGAGACCTAAGGTAGATCTGCCGGCGTTCGCAAACCCTGAAGTCCCCTTCCAGTTATCCCAGTTTCCCTATTTTCTTTTATTTTGAGAACAGATGTATTTTCTTTAAACCAGTATTTGTACTGACTCTTAGAAGTTCGTGGATTGTGACACCAGATTTTGGGTAGTCGTGTATTAGTTTTTGGATTATTGTAAATTTCCGCACTTCTTTACTTTGTTTTGGTTTAATTATTGTTATTTACTTTTTTGGATAGCGGTTAGCGTATTAGACCTTTATCTGTTGGCTTGCATAGCATTCCAAAAAGTTAGGCGCCATCACGATCCCGACGGTGGGAAATCCGGGTCGTGACAAGTTGGTATCAGAGCACTAGGTTTCCTAGGTCTCACAATTCATGAAAAAGCTAGGTAGAGTCTGAGGGATCGGTATGGAGACGTCTGTGCTTATCCACTAGAGGCTACAAAGTTTAGGAACAATTTCACTTCTACTCTTCTCTGTCGTGCGATTTGATCTCTCAATGCTAATTGAACTTTCTACTCTTGTTCTTTCGCTGATGGCGAGAACATGTACCGCTTCATCAGCTGATCAACAGCCCGAGCCCCCAGTGGCAGCTCCTACGAGGGGCAGGGGACGAGGCCGTGCCAGAGGCCGAGGCACGGGCATGGCTCAGCGTAGAGCTCGAGCAGCAGCACCAATAGCGGAGCCTCAAATGGAGTTTGATGATGAGGTCCCGACCCAAACTGTTCTGGCAGGGCTAGCTCAGGTTCCCGAGGGGTTCATCGCTACCCCGGTACTTTAAGATGCTTTGGTCTGCCTAGTGGGCCTTATGGAGAGCGTAGCTCAGACTGGCACATTTCCTGTAGCACCAGCCGTCTCTCAAGTTGGGGGAGGAGCCTAGACTCTCGCTACCCACACACCAGAGCAGATGGCTCCTCAGTTTCAGACTCCAGCAGCTCAGCCAGTGGGAGTAGCTCAGCCGGTTATTGCGGCTCAGGCCGCTGGTGGATCAGTTATGTCTTCTGAGGCTCTGTTGAGGTTGGACAAGTTCACCAAGCTTTTCCCGGTTCATTATAGTGGGGCATCTTTTGAGGACCCACGGGATTATCTTGACCGCTTCCATGAGGTGTTGCGAAACATGGGGATAGTGGAGACCAATGGGGTCGACTTTGCTGTATTCTAGATGATAGGGTCCGCCAAGAGATGGTGGAATGATTTTTTGTTGACTAGACCAGCTGGGTCGCCTGCCTTGACTTGGGACCAGTTCTCTCAGCTATTTCTTGAGAAGTTCCTTCCTATCACTCAGAGAGAGGACTATAGCAAGCGGTTCGAGCATCTTCAGCAGGGTTCTATGACTGTCACTCAGTACGAGACTAGGTTTGTTGATTTGGCCCGTCATGCTCTTCTTATACTTCTTACCGAGAGAGAGAGAGAGTGGGGAGGTTTGTTGAGGGACTCGCTCAGCCTATCAGATTGCAGATGGCTAAGGAGGCAGGGAGCGAGATTTCTTTTCAGGATGCGGCCAATGTGGCCAGGCGAGTTGAGATGGTTTTAG